AGAGGGAAGTGCATTGCAGTCAACAAAGCTGAAAGGAGTTGGAGATCTGAGGAGCATTTTGGCATCAGCCACGGAGATGCCAAGTTTGGAGCTTGCCTTGCTGAGTTTTAGCCTTGTTTTGGTCCAGTGTTTCCTCACTATGCTCCCCTTTCTTCCTTTTGGAATGGTAATGTATATTCTGCTACTGTATGTATGTTGTGTGTGATCTGCTCTTTGATTTTGATTTTACAGGGGCTTACAGATTACCATTAGTCTCGGAAGAGACTTTGAAACAATGCTAAGACTGTTACAGACTATGGAGACTTTTGAAGTTGGACTGGATACATTTTTGCATTGTGGTATGGCTACAAGTCTATGGGGTCCAGGAGGTTGACTGTAGTAGTCTGAATAAGAATTTCCCTCCCATCCCCCCAACCCCCAACCTCATGCCCCCAACCCCCTACCCCCTGTGCCCAAAGACTCATATATGTGAACACTTGGTTCCCAGTTGGTAGTTTATTTAGGAAGGACCAGACTTGTTCTTGCTGGAGGAGACACGGCACTGGGGGTGAGCCTTGAAGTTTCAAAAGTCCATGTCAGGTCTAGTCTGTCTGTCTGTCTGCCTGTGGATCAGGATGTAGCTCTCAGCTACTGCTTCAGGGCCTGCCTGCATGTCACCATGCCCCCTGCCTGATGATAATGGACTAAACCACTGAAACTGTAAGCTAGGCTCAGTTAACTACTTTCTTTTATAAGAGTTGCTGCGGTCAGAGTGTCTCTTCACAGCAATAGAACAGTGACTATAACAAGTGTCTTACACAGCCCAAGCTGCCCTGAAACACATACATCATAGAGAGCTCTGGCTTGTTGGAGATGCTCTTGGGGACCCCATGAAGGAAGCATGCCTCCCCTGATATCATTCCACGGAGAGAGGAAGTCATCTGTGCAGGCATCTTGTCACCAGTCCCTAGTGGCCAGGGACACTGATGAAGATGCTAAAGCGGGAGAGCGGGTGCTTCAGACACATGACTGCTGTGTGGCACACAAACACTCTGTGACCCAGCTCCTCTTGAACCCCAACCACGGTCTCTAGGTGAAACCATCAGCTTATTATCCAGCAACAGTGACAAAGTCAGATGAGCCAGTTCTGAAAGAGTCCATGCTTATAACGACAGAACTAAACACCTCTGGCCTGATGCCCTGGGTAAACGCCCTGCTGCCTTCCTACAGGTCATATTTCCCATCTGAGTGAAAGAAGTCTAGCGTCCGTCTCCTGTCCCAGCTGTGCTGGGCCCACCTTGATACTGAGGTACCTTGGGTCTGTGCAGAAGACTCAGAGACTGTGAGACCCAGAGTGCTTGGTAGCAGCAGTAAGGCCCCGGTCACCTGCATATAGTGGAGGTGGGCATCTTTTGGCGTGAAGGTTGACATACTTTCTCTGTAAATACTGGCTGTGGCTCGTGGGGCTCTGTCATCCCTGATCAGACATTATGGGGCAGTTGTGGGGCACGCACGTGCGCGGGGGTGGGTGGAACTGTGGGCTGCACACAGGGGTAGGGAGAACTGTGTTGGGCCGCACATGGGGGTGGGGGGGATTGTGAGCTGTGCGCGGGGGTGGGAGGAGTTGTGGGACACACGTGGAGGTGGGCCACGCACGGGTGTGGGGAGAGCTGTGTTGGGCCACTGTGTGGGGGTGAGGAAAGCTGTGTTGGGCCACACATGGGGGTGGGGGGGTTGTGGGGTGCGTGGGGGTGGTTGGCTGTAGAGTGCCGGAATGCCCAGTTGCTCTCCCTGGCAGGGGTTGACCATGAAAGCAGCCAGCTTTTATTCTTTTGTGTGTTTTTGAGATAGCCTCCTTCTGTTGAAGCACCTATTTAGCTCCCATTTTTATTTTATTTTGGGGGGAGAGGCCTTACTATGCACCCCTGGCTGGCCTGAAACTCTCTATGCAGATATAGTTGGCTTCACAGAGATCTACTTGCCTCTCAGGTGCTAGGACTGATGGTGTTTTAAAGTTCATTTTATTTTTTATTTTATTTTTTGTGACAGGGTTATCTTGCTGCATAGCCCAGACTGGCTTCAAACTTGCAATCCTTGCATTTACTTCCCAATGGTGTAGGCTTCCACACTCACCGGAAATGAGCACATGCTACCAACCCTGGCTTGATACTGCTAGCCACGCCCTGTCTCCTCATGGTCCACAGTGTCCCCCTTCACTGGGTGTTATATGTTCCCTGGGCCGAGCTGGGGAATCTTTCCTGTAGTGTCTACCAGGCTCTACCAGATGAACTCCTGCCCTTCCCACCTACATCCTGTCCAGATACTGCCTTCTTGTCTGGTTCCTGGGCCTCGCTGAAGGCCAGAGAACGGCTTGCTGACCCCAGGAAGCCAACAAAGTGTTAGGATAGCTCGCTCATTCACCATGTTACCTGAGACACGGGGAGTCCTCAGGCAACTGAAGAACACCTATGGGGGTGGGAATGGGGGCGGGGTTTGCAGGCTGAGGCCTCACAGCAGAGCCAGGCCTGGCAGACCCTGCAGCAACACGCCTTTCCTGGAGCTGGTGGGGTTGGTGGTTCCTCACCTTGTCTGTACGACACAGGCATACAAGTTCAGCTTTAATGATGTCGTTGATGCCAGCTTGTTGTCTGCCACGTCGGGGTTCCGCATGAAGTTATACCTAGTTGAGAATCAAGCATTTTTGACGAGCCCCGAGGGGATATTTTTCTCTTTGTGCAAACAGTCCTTTTATGTAGAGGGAATTCTGTGGCTTCTTGGCAGACATATGTGGGAAACACCTCAGTGAACACCACTCACTCCCTGCAAAGTTTAGAGCTATGTGCCACATGTCAGCACAGCCAGCCCTGGGCTACTGTAAAGCTGTAAGCTGCAAGCTGTGCTGGGACCCCCTCCTTGGATGACCTCACGTAACTGACCCCCCAGTGTTCAGCACTGAATCTAGATCCGGCCTGTCTAGCTTCCTCCCAAAGGCCACAGCTCCAGACTCTCTGTGATCCCAGTTGTCTTAGTCAAGAGTTTCTGTTGCTTGGACAAAACACCATGACCAAAAGCATCTTGGGAAGAGAGAGTTTGTTTTATCTTCTACCTCTCAGGTCACACTCTATCACTGGGGGAAGTCAGGACAGGAACTCAAAGAAGGAACCTGGAGGCAGCAGCTGAAGTAGGGGCCATGGAGGATTGCTCTTTACTGCCTTGCTCAACCTGCTTCTTTTTATACAACTCAGGAGCACCTGCCCAGAGCCGGCACCGCTGGAATCAATCATTCATGAAGAAAGTGCCAGGCAGACTTGCCTTATAAAGGCTTTCTCAATTTAAGAATTCTTCCCAAATGCCCAGCTGTGTCAAGTTGGCAAATAAAACAAAACCAAAAACCCAACCAGTCAACACACTAAGTTATCCAGGGAAAAAGAGAGACAGGTGCTACCAGGGTCACTTGTCCCAGCGTAACTGAGTCGGGAGAGGGTGGCTATAGAGGTCCAAGGCAACACTACTCAGGTGGCCAGGCCACAAGGCCAGGGCTTGAGGCTCTGTAAGTCTACATGGTCAGATAGAGCAGCAGAGCGGCTTTGCTGGAGCTCACAGACAATAGCAGCATCCAAACCAAGCAGACAAGCAGGCTACCCTGTTTTCCAGAATGTGGGGCAGGACTTGGAGCAGTTCCTCTGGAGTTCAGAGCCCTGCTTGGCAGCCACAGGTTCTGCTAGGATCAGGTAAGGAACCATCCTTCATCACCCGACTGCCCTCCTTGATATACTAAGAACAATCATCTCGCGCCTGGGCTCCTGACTCAGGGAGATGCCCAATAAGAACATCGTGGAAGTTGGGTATAGTTGCAGATGGATAATCTCATGCTCAGGAGCAGAGACAGGGAGATAGATTACCAGGGCAACCTGGGCTACATAGAAAAACAAAATGGGAAGGATGTTATAACTGAACACACCAACCCAGAACCAGCACCGAGCACAAGAAACGCTGGAACCGTTTCCAGCACTAGCTTTCTTTGGCTTCTCCCGTGATGGAGAAGATGAGAGACATTTGTGTCTCTTAGGTGACCAGCCATTTGGTCTGGGAAATGTCTATGGGGATGAGTGGCCTGGACTACTGGTCTGAGACTACGCCTCTGCCTCTGGGAACCTCGGTCCCCCCAGCTTGTTCTGAGAACATACACAGAACCTCAAGTGCTGCTTCTGGGCAGCACGTCTGCTCTGTGTGACTCCTTTGCTACAGCTGACGGGAAGCCATTGAACACTCGGAGACAGAGACAACTTTCATGGAGGCCTCACAGCTCAGCCAATGTGGACGATACAATTTAAAATGACTCTCAATGGAAACAGAAGAAAGAAAACAGCTCAAGTTGTCAGAATAGGTATTTGGGCTCTGGGAAGAAACCACAGGGTTGGATCCACATGGCCCTGGTCACACAGAGCGTGTACTGAGTACAGGGGTACCCAGAGCATCACATATACAGACACAGGTTCCATTCCCTTTTCCTGGGGAGACACGGACAAACATCTGTCCACTATACACTGGACACAGATGACAGGAAAAGAATCCATCTCAATGACTTCACTGGGGTTACCTGCAGGAGCGTAGGTGGCTCAAAGGCAGCTGAGGTCACCCACGCCAGCACTGGGGATCTCTCAGGAAAGCTGCATGCCTGGAGCTCCCTGTCCAACCTGCAGGCAGTGCCACTGGAGTGCTCTGTCCCCAGTAACTGACACTGCTTTCTGTAGCTCTGGGGAGAGGTCTTAGACTGGAGTCCTGTGAGCCTCCTTCCTCGGAGGCAGGAGGGGATGCTCCGATTGGGAGGAAACAGCTATCTAACCACCAGCCCCCACACAGAAGAGTCTCAGGAAGCCTATGGCAGCTATGCACCGGCTGCCACATCCAGGTGTGCAAGGCTCCTAGGGTATCCATAGGACTTGCACAGGCTCAGAGATCATCTCCAAAGGTACTGGGGAAAGGCAATTAAAAGGACCTCCACAAGACTGTGCTGCTCGGTGCTGCTGGGACTTCACAGCATGGCTGAGATCCACCTGCCTCTGTCCAGGCTCCACTGCAACTTCTCTTACGGGGGTCACTGAAGCCTGGACCGTGACTCCATGACCACCCTACAGCCCCTGCAAACAGATATGCTGTTGGACTTTCTTAGTTCCCAAATAATGACACAGAGACTATTTATTAATTATGAAAGCTTGGCCTTATCTTAGGCTTGTTCCCAACTAACTCTTATAGCTTAAATTAATCCATTTATATTAATCAACATTCTGCCATGTGGCTCATTACCTCTCCTCCATACTGTACCTCTGACTCCCTCTAAGTCCCCATGGCTTAATTCCACAAGCCTCAGATTCTTCCCTAGTTCCCCTCTCCCTGGAAGTCCCGCCTATTCCCTCCTGCCTAGATATTGGCCATTCAGCTCTTTATTAAAGCATTGAGAAGGCTCCTTAGGCAGAGACACATCTTCACAGTGTACAAAACGATTATCCCACAACACAGATAGCTGTGACTCTGTGAGTCTTCACTCCTGCCCTGGGTGACCTGAGGATGGAGAGTTGCTGTATTAGTTGTCTTTCTCAGCACTGTGACCAAACACCTGAGTAGAAACAACTTAAGGTAGGAAGGGTTTATTTGGCTTATGGTTCGAGGGCACACAGTTCATTATGGTGAGTGGCAGATCACACTGCATCTGGTCAGGGAGGGCAGTAGGGAGGACAGAGGCTGAGGTATAAACTCACCCCAGGGACCCATTTCTTTCAGAGTCTCCCTCCTATAGGGTCATGACCATCCCAACTGGAGCCACCATCTGGGACCAAGCATTTAGACACATAGGCTGATGGGGACATTTCACATCTGAACTGTAGCAGGCATGCTCTTTTCTCTCTGCCCAAAATACACAAGACACTGACATCTCCCTGTCTCCTTCTCATTTGTCCTTTCTTTTTTTCTCCCCTCCTTCAGAAATTCTGGAGGAGGGTAGAGGGAGGCTGAGGCAACCCACCTTTTACTTTGAGAAACTTGGGGCCTTGTCCTGATTTCAGAGGCTCGAAGCTACAGGGCCTAATATTTAGGGACTTGGTGTCAGAACTTAATCAGGGTAACACAAACAGGAACTTTGGGACAGGGTGTCAGGTCTCCTGGGGAAGTCTGGAGAGGGATGAGCAGTGTGTCTTTCTTCTGTGCCTGTGACCAAGGGCTGCTTTGGGGACTGGGTCAGACTGCTCACCAGGTCTACACGCTTCTGCCTATGTGGATCAGTTGGCCTGCCCTGTCTCTAGGGACTCCAGGATGTCCAGCCCTGTTGTAGAGCACTGCAGGTCAGATTCTGCTGAAGTGGCTCCCAATTCATAGCCTATTACAGGAAGTATTCCCACCTGTCCTTGGTGAGCAAGTGCCACCTTTTATACACCTGGCAGCTTAGATACCCACTGCAGTTGGGGCTGGGGCTGCAGCTGCTGTGTAACATCTCAGGGCTCCTGTGGCAACTGCCTCCCTCAGTATGGGGCAAAAGGCACGTGCATCCTCCCAACCCACCTACAGACGGCCACATTCCCACCTCCCAACCGTCTCCTCTCCAATTGGGCTTCTTAGCTTTCCATGTACACACATCTTTTCGACCACACTTAACCAACTTGCCACCGATCCAACTGGGCTTTCTGTGGCTCTGGAGCTGTGGCACCACGCCACAGTTCTTGCGGCATGTATCTCATGGGGACCACACACTCCTGTCCTCCCACATGTCCCCCAGCTTGGGGACATTAGGCTGTACCATGGCAGTGCAATCCTTTCGGCACAGACACATTCAGCTTTGGAAGCCACGTGTCGTGTTTTGTTACAGACCAGAGGCGGAGATTCTAACATCAGGAGAGCCTGACAGGGCAGCACCAGGGCATTTCAGCTCTTCGGGGTACAGGATTCTTCTGCTGTTGATGGAAGACAAAAGGTCCGAGGTCCCCACTCCTTAGCTGCATCCTCACCCTTGCAGTCTGGTCCCCCCAGTCAATACTACCTCAGAGGCTGCCCGCCAGTCAGCCACATACTCAAAGTGTCTTTGGGTATCACTCTGAAGTAGGCGTTGTTCCTCCGTGTCCCACAGGGCTATGCTGTGCCCTGGACTTGTGGCCTGTCCCCTTTACCTTCTCCTGCCAGAGGCTAGGCCTCCTTTCTTGGTCTTCTGGCCTTGTACTGCATCCCACAGCGCCTCCTTTCATGACCACTGGTCACCCCCCATGAACCCACTCCTGCCTCCCTTCCTCTCTATGGAGCCCAGTTTCCTCACCCTGGCCTCAGTCCTGGATGTTAAGGCTTCCTAGACATTTCTGGGACACTGAGTCAGGAGGATGTGGCAGACAGCCACTGCGGGACCAACAGCCTCCCAGGGCCAAGCCCTGTGTACTTGCACCCAGAACTGCCGGCTTAAAAGTAAGACTGCTAATGGGCCTCCTTGGGGCTTTGACTGCTCTGACCCTAAGAGGAGAACACAGGGATATCTCTATGGAAAGTTCCCTCCTTGAGCCTCCATGTTGGCAACGGGAAATTTATTGTCAAATATGTTTAGGCTGACCTTACTACCAGGCCCCAGCTACAGGTGCCAGGTGTCTGTCATCAGGTACTCTCCTCTGAATGGTAAGTCACAAAAGCAACAGAGAACCTTATGAAGAAAGTGGATCTCATAGACCTTTGGCCACAACTTGCTGTCCTCAGAGGCCACTGAGGACTTTCCACAGGGCTGGGTCAAGACTGGAGTAAGACAGCAGCATCCCACAGCTGAGTCATGGGCAGGGGTAGAGTGACCAGATGCTGATGCGCTGGTCCTTGGACCCTGCAGCAAGCAATCCATCAGTGGCAAAGGCCACACAGCACACAGAGGCACTGTGGAAGGCCAGAACGGCCAGTGGCTTCATTGTCCTCCAGTGAAAGACTCGGATGCGATGGTCCCAGCCTGCTGTGGCTAAGAGCTTGTGGTCTGGCCGGATGGTGACTTCGGCAATCCCAGGATTGGTGAGTTCCTGAGTCTTGCACACCTATAAACAGGACAGTAAGAAGAACGTGGTTGCTCTTAGGTCTGCTGTAGTCCTTGGTCACAAATATCCCTTCCCTGGCCCTACTCTGCCATAGGCTCTGGACAGCTACACATTCTTGTCCATCTGGCCTCCTCCTCAACCCCATGGTCATAGCAGGGACTTCCCTAAGCACACACAAGGCCACAAAGTTATGCTGAGCTCCTCCCAGCCTGGAAGAAGCTGGGAGGCCAGGTCCTGGGTTCTCAGTGTGGAGGAGATACACAGTCAATGTTTCTCCTGGAGGAACTCCACTGAAACTTACGGCATGGGGAATGCAAATGCCATCAACAATAACACCAAGACTCAAGGGAGACCCAGAAACCTGGTAGTGGGTCCCAGACCACCCAGAGAAGGGGTTGGCAGAGTGTACAGTGTGCTATGGCTTGAATGTGTCCCTCAAGAATTCACAGTCAGAAACAGAATTCTCAATTCACCTATTAATGCTATCTAAGGTGGGGTATTTGGCAGGTGATGAGGCCTATTAGTGGCTTTCTCAGTGAAGACCTGAGCTGGCAGCCTGTTCTGTCTTGTCTAGGGATGGTCCCCATGTTGTGACTGGCACTCAGCAGATGCAAGCTTCCAAGCCTCCTGGTCTTCAGTACCACTAACCAAATCAACTGTTTTTAAACAAAAAATTTATTTTTATTTTATGTATTTAAGTGTTTTGCCTGCACATATATCTGTGCACTGTGTGTGTGTAGGGCTCACAGAGGCCAGAAGAAGGCATCAGATCCTCGGGGACTGGAGCTGAGAGCTGCCATGTGAACCATCTCTCTGGCCCCAAGCTTTTATCCTTCAGACACTGCGCAGGCTTAGCAGGCTTAGGCATTTTGCAGTAATAGAAAATGGAGAAAGGTAGAGGGTGAGGGGAAACGGCACTAGAGGAGGAGGAAGGAATCCCGATGTGCTCCTTACTGGCTGTGGAGCCCCCATTTCTCCGTCAATGTGGTCGATTCCTCTGCAGTACCATTCACCACCGTGCCCTTGCCAAACACAAGACCAATTCAGCCACCCTAACTTTAAACCCCTACAACTTCACGCTAAATTAAAAAGTCCTTTATAAAGTTAGCCTGCCTCAAGGTCTTTGTCATAGTAATGAAGGTAGCCTCTTGGTTACAGAGGCCTGTCCTGCACACTGAAGGCCACTTGACAGTCCTGTTCCTACAAGTGGCCTGCCTGAGCCACAAGCTTTCTGTTAGTCCCTTTGTTTTCAGTGCCTTCCAGCAGGACCACATCACCCTTTGCAGACAATGCTCATTCCCACAGAGTTGGCAAGGAGGCTGGGCATAGTGACCTGTGAGTTTAATCCTAGCACTCTGCAAGAGGGACAGGCGGTCATTGTGAGGGAGGGAGGGAGGGAGGAGGGAAGAAAGGGAGGGAGGGAGGGAGGGAGGGAGGGAGGGAGGGAGGAAGGAAGGAAGGAAGGAGGAAGAAAGCACAGAAGGGAGGAAGGAAGAAGATATAAGGAAAAATAAGGAAAGAAGTAGGGAAAATGAACGACAGCATCCATGGAAGCCAGTAGAAACGGTCACAGAACAATTTAGCTACAAATTAACAAAACACAACAGATGAAGTAGGTCATTCTTAAACCAGTCACTGTGGGTGGGCCTTGGCAGGGCTCAGGATGGAGGAAGAAAAGAAGGATGAAGGGAATGAGCACCAGTGGAGACACTGAATGACGTCGGATGGGGTCCGGGAGGGCAGGAAGATTAGAAAATAAACCAGGTGAAACAAAACAGTTGCAAGGGACCAGAGGAAACATGGAGGGCAACAGAAGAGCAACTTCAATTGGCTGAAAGAGAAGCCTTAGGATATAAGCCCAAAGAAAGGCTGCAAGAGCATTCAAGAATAAGACATACTCTAAAATTCTTAGGGCTAAGAGTGAAGAGAGACCTTCTAATAGCCAGGCAAATAATCACATGGAAGATGAGGGCACAGCAGAAGCCGTCACCAGCATGTGTGCCAGCAGAGAGTGGGGCAGTGCTCATGCAGGCAGAAGGGAGTGTGGTCCAAGAGTTTTATATCCAGCCAAACTGTCACTCAACTGTGAAAACAGTAGACAAACATTTTTGAACATGTAAGAGCTGAAAGAATATTGCTCCCGTAAGTCCTTCTGGAAGAACAAGGAGATTTACTCCCACCTTGCAGATGGCGGCTAGAGAACTCTAGTGAACAGTCTGGCAGACAGCACTGAGTCTACTTACCTACAGGATTAGGCACAAGACACGGGGATTATGGCTAGGAGAACCAGTTATGTAACTAGGAGAAGCATGGGCGGGTAATGAGAAAGATGGGGTGCTGTGAAGGATTTGCTCATTCGTTGACCTCACCTCTGAGGTGATCTGACCTCCCACCATAACTGACGGCAGCTCAGCATATTTCCTTCTCCTCTCACAGCTGAGAAGGGATGTCCTGGTTTTCTGGTATTTGCTTTGCATATCTGTATATGATAATACCAAAATACCAAAGCAAAAAAGAATAAACATTCTCTGGTTTTAAAGAATATCTAAACCTGAGCATGTAGAAAGGGACTTGAGAGGATCAAACAGCAGACAAGCCAGAGCATAAGTGAGGGAAGCAGGGGATAATTTGGGTTTCCAACCCAAAGCAATAGGTAAGATAAAACTTGGTATCTAATACTGATCAAGGTACAGTGCACACTCAAGAGTGCGGCTGCGTTCAGCAAAGAGGCTCATCTGTCATAAAGTGGTTAAAACAAAGCATTCGGTGCCTAACCAACTAGTCCTCTTGCTGTAAACAACCACAAAGGTGAACAAAACACACAAGGTAATTGTTGACAGGTCCTGCACAGCAGGCAGGGTGGAGCCCTGGCATTCTCTGCCTGGGGACAAAATCTAGCCAGAATATAATAGTCACATTAAGTTGAGGAGACAGATAAAAATCTGGGGTAGCTAGAAAGCTAAGATCTGTGAGGATAAGGGGGTGGAATGGAGGGAGATGTGATGGGGGGCTGGGGACTAGATGTGGGTTCCCTAGAAGACCTTGTTTGAGGTCTAGGCTCTGTGTGTTCACAGCAGATAACAGGCTGAGCCACCAGTTCTCACATCAGGAATAATGATCCGACCTCAGAGTGTGGCCTTCTCCAGATATCTACCACGGTGAGAAGCCAGGACTGGCAAGGTCTGTGGAGAGCTGGGGTTGCAGTGCCACCACAATGAAGGCGGGTGGCTGAGATGGCCATGCCCACACAAGCCCAATGTGAACAGCCAGCCACTAACCTAGAGCACTGGCACAAAATAGCAGAGTTCAGGGTCTCCATCACAAGCCATTTACATGTCCAGCACATCAACAGTACTTAGTAGACACACAGAAAGCACGGCTGTGCGCTCCATAATTGAGGGAAATCACGTCAGTACAAACTGATCCCCCAAATGGTGCAGGTCCCGAACACATCAAATAAAGATGTCTATGAAAGGAAAAAGGTCGCGCAGATGGCACCAAGTGTGAAGTCCTGAGTGTGAATCCACGGGACCCACGGAAACACCCAGGAAGGTGGGGCAGCCACTGGGAAGGGGGTGGACACTAGGAACACAAGGCAGCCCACCTGTAATCCCAGCATTTGGGAGGCAGAGACAGAGGATCTTGGACCAGCTGGCTAGCCAGATCAGTTGAAACTGGGGAACTCTGGGTTCAGCAATAGACCTTGCCTTGATAAACACAGTGGAGAAACATTAAGGAAGACATGTCAACTTTAGGGCTCCATACACATGTGCATGCTCATATATGAACACACATGTATCCATACACATGTGAACATACATACATAAATGCATGCACACTACACATACACAAAAAACTAAAGAAAAATACATTAAAATATTATAAAATTATTTATACGAACTAAGCAGACAGGAATTATTAGTACAGAGTAAGAACTATAATAAGACTAAAAAGTATCAATTAGAATAAAATGGACAGGACAGGGCAGACTAGAAATTGTTTTATAAAAAAGTGAAATGGATAGCGACATCTTGAATTTTGCAGGCAAATGGATGAAACTAGAAAACATCATTTTGAGTGAGGTAACCCAGACCCAGAAAGTTAATTATCAAATGTACTCACTCATAAATGGTTTTAAAACATAAGGCAAAGAAAACCAGCCTACAAACCACAATCCCAGAGAACCTAGACAGCAATGAGGACACCAAGAGAGACATACATGGATCTAATCTACATGGGAAGTAGAAAAAGACAAGATCTCCTGAGTAAATTTGGAGCATGGGGACCTTGGGAGAGGGCTGAAGGGGGGGAGGCAGGGAGGGGAACAGAGAAAAATGTAGAGCTCAATAAAAATAATAAAATAAAAAAGTGGACTGGGTCAATGAGCTGGTCAGAGGGCAAAGGTGCTTGCTAGGAAGCCTGACAACCTGAGTATGATCCTTGGGACCCACAGGGTAGAGAAAATCTAGGCTTGCAAGCTGCCCTCTGACTTCTGCATGTTCACTGTGCACATGCACAGCACACAAACACACACAATAAATAAATAATGTCTTCTTCCCGATAAAGGGGTTGACTCTGGACAGGACTTGAGCCTACAGGGAACGTGTCAGAGCTGGCAGCTGCTGATAAATATCAAACGCTGAGTAGTACTCTAATATGTATATATTCCATACTTTCTTCGTCCATTCTTCCATTGAAGAGCATCTAGGTTGTTTCCAGGTTCTGGCTACTACAAACAATGCTGCTATGAACATAGTAGAGCATATACTTTTGTTGTATGATAAGGCCTTTCTTGGGTATATTCCCAAGAGTGGTATTGCTGGATCCAGGGGTAGGTTGATCCCGAATTTTCTGAGAAACCGCCACACTGCTTTCCAGAGTGGTTGCACAAGTTTGCATTCCCACCAGCAATGGATGAGTGTACCCCTTTCTCCACAACCTCTCCAGCAAAGGCTATCATTGGTGTTTTTGATTTTAGCCATTCTGACAGGTGTAAGATG